AGAGAACATGGCAAAAGATCCTGGACAGAACCTGGCGCTACAGAACGGTTGGAGAACCTAGACAGAACCTGGCTGAAGAACCCGGCTACAGAACCTGGCGACTGAACCTGGCTGGAGAACCTAGCGAGAGAACATGGCTACAGAACCTGGCTGGAGAACATGGACACAGAACTTGGCTGGAGATTGTGGCTAGAGATCCTGGCAAGGCTGCTGATCAACTGAACGCTGTCTCCGTGTCATTCCTTCTTCGCCGACTCCGTCCACACCTTTGGGGACCCCTGGACCTGCTGGAGCTGGACCCCGGCAATCAGTAATTCAACACTTACTATGTACCTTATATAACAGATATGATTTTCCTCCAATGTATTTCTCATTCCCTTATAAAGCACTTTGCCCCGGAAATCACGTCCTCTGACAGCCTTCTACAATGAAGACAAAACATGAAAGATCCACTCAGGAAAGACTAAATGAACTTCAAAAACATGGATCTTTTGTCAACTTGAAGCAAATGCTCTTGAAACCTTAGCAAGTCCATAGTGTTAAAAGCCAAGATTTGTGAGAAGGAAAAAAACTGAATTATAATAGTGCCCTTTACACATAATAAAATCAAGGCTGACTTAAACTATAGAAAATATTGTTTGTTCATTTTTATGATAATAACACCCCTTATTGATTGTTTTTATAACAGGTACTCTTTTGCATTTACTAACTCCTTTTAATCTTATAATAGTCCTCATTTCATTTGTTCACCAGCATGCCCAAGATCCTAGAATATAGCCTGGTCATAATACTATATATTATTATCCACCTTTTGCGGATAAGGAAACAGAGGCAGAGAGCAGTTAATGATCTTTTCCAAAATTTTTAGTCAGTAGTGAGAACCAGGATTCATATTAAAGAAGGAGTCCTATAAATATCAAGTGAATTGCTCAAAGTTATTAGAGGCAAAAACCCCTCTAGGAATCAGAGGAAAGGAACGCTTTATTAAGCATTGACTCTGCCAAGCATTCTGACATATTTTATCTGTATCATCTCAATTAATCATGCACTAACAATTCAACTTTAATATTGTGATTCCAATTTTACAGATTAGGGAACAGGCCCAGGAAGATGAAGTAACAAAACAAGGTAATTGTAGAACCAAGATTCAAACTCAGATCTGCCTGTTTACAAATCCCTTGCAAAGTCTTTGCTCTTGCCTGCACTCCTGCCCTCCACAAGATAATGTTTATTTAAAGCAGCTTCTTCCTCGGTATCTTAGAAAATCTCTCCCTCTTTCTTTCCCATATGCATTTCTTTTCTCTCACTCAGGCATGAATACTTCACAATAAAATTCAGCAATTTCTCCTTTGCTTCTACTCAAGGTTAAGAGAAGGATGCCTTCTCTACCAGCACCATGCTATGAAAAAAAAAAGGAAAATGGGAAATCCTCTCAGTGCTACACATTATGGATGCATTCATTTCATGTGCATTCTTCAAAAATTTCAAGGAAGCTGAAATCTAATTTAATATATTACATGATTGTACTAAATTACTTAACCACATCAAAGCACCAATGGCCCCACACTCTAGGAAGGGGACATTGTAAAATGGTTTTCAAATATATAATGCAGTCTCTCAGGTGCTCAAGACAGGGACGCCCATCTCTGAATATAAAGCTTCCCTTACACTTCTGAGATCAAACA